TTTTGTGTCTTTACACATCAGTGTATCGTCACGAGCCACAGGGTTTATTTTGGTTTTGTTTGTGTATGTTTTTTTTTTACTCTCAAAGCCGTGATTCCCATTCACCTCCATTATAAGACTGACAGACTGCAACGGTTTGTGTTAAAAATCTTCGTTTGTGTTCTACTGAAGAAACAAAGTCACCTACATCTTGGATGCCCTGGGGGTAAGCAGATAAACATCAAATTTTCATTTTTGGGTGAACTATCCCTTTAAGATCCTGTTCTCAGAAATCTTTATTCTAAGAAATGCTATTGGAATATTTGTGGCATTTAGAATCAAAATCTTTCTTTGTTTTTGTTTTTGTTTTTTTGCATTTAGACATGCATAGATATAAATGATTATTCCACTGCAGTGAATATGACAAAGATAAAGAATTGCTAGTTAATGCAAGCTATGATTTATAGAAAACAGAATATTGACTTTATCATTAATGGGGTTTTTTTACATTTTGAGTGTTTTATGCTCGCCAAGGTTGCATTTATTTAAGCAATAATACAGTAAAATCAGTAATATTCTGAAATATTAATATTAAGATATTACGTTTTTATTCTATTTTCTATTATAATATATTATAAAACTGAATTTTCAGCATTCATTACTCCAGTCTTCATTGTCACATGATACTTCAGAAATCATTTTAATATGCTGATTAGCTGCTTAAACATTTATGATTATTGTCAGTGTTGAAAACAGCTTTACTGCTTAATATTTTTGTGGAAAGTGTGATAATTGTTTTTAGCATTAATTGGTGAATAGAAATATATAAAAATAACATTATTTGAAATATAAATCTTTTGTACCATTATAAATGTCCACCTTTTTTAATTTATTGATCTCTTTTTAATAAAATAAGAGCAACAGGAACTCTTGGTAATAGAGTATTGTGTAATATATTTTTGAAATGGTTGTACAGAGCTCATCTATTCATATATTAGTACTAAATCTTCCAGAAGCTGAAAGTGGAGGTCCTCCTCAGCCAGCAGCTGGATGCCATAATAAGTGAGGGTTTGCGCTTCCTGGAGAGCAGTCAGAATGAGGACAGGTGAGCTTTTATAACACTACACTCAATAAGTTCTTTCCTAGTACTCCGTAACCTTAGAATTTTCTTACTAACCTCCAGTGTGGGACTCTGCCATGGATAAGAAATCAAAGAATATGGTTTAATAATTGGTTTTGAACAGGATGTCTCCTGATGAGTAATTAAAACCGAGATTCTCCAACTGATTTTTTTTCCACGGGCTTCAGATGAGGCTATAACTCTTGGGAGTTATGTGGTGTGGAAGAGCTCCTTTGAGCTCAGCACTGGAACAAGCTGGCTCGCTCTCAGGAAATGAAACTGCATGTGCTACCGGCATGAATCATTGAAATCATTTTTCTTTTCAGCATATAAGTGCTGCTTCAGGTGGAACTCCTGCATGGTTACTTTGAAGATGTTTCTTGGGTCTGTTTTTTTCCATTGCGGGAACAAATGTCATGTAGAGAGCCACATAAATGTGGTTGGTTTATTTTTCAGATGACTGGCAAAGCCAATGGCCAGTGGAATTGCTGTTAGTTTTATGGTATTATTAACATCTCTATTATGTGTTGCTCATCAGTTGTGACATCTATGGTCTTTTAAAAAAAAAAATGTAAAAAAAATCTGTTAAAACCACGATTTAAAGGGATAGTTTACCCAAAAATAAAAAATTCTGTGATCCTTTACTCACCAACATGTTGTTACAAACCCATAACTTTTATTCAGTTTTGAAACAAAAATAAAAGTATTTATATTGAAATCTGAGAGATTATGGACATTGAAAGTCCATTCACACAGAACTTTCATGGTTCAAAAAGTCTATAAAGGGATTGTAAAAATAATCCATATGAATCGAACAGTGTAATCCAAGTCTTCTAAAGAGACATGACCGCTTTATATGCTGATCGATACATTTGGATTACTTTTACAATGATTTTATGACCATTTTGAAATGCAAAAGTTTTGGGTGAATAGACATTCAATGGAGGAAAAGAAATCTCTCAGGTTTCATTAAAAAATATCTTCATTGGTTTCAAAGATGGAAAATCTCATGGGTTTGGAATGACTAAAGGGTAAATTATGCCAGAAGAATCATTTTTGAGTGAACTAAACACCTTTAACCTGAGTGAATGTTCTTCACTATGGTAACTTTTGTACAGTGGCCCAGTAGTGCATAACACAGCAAAATCTCCACAACACAACAGAAAAGACGCAACACAATGAAATTAGCTCAACACAACGGAAAAAAGATGCAACACAACGAAATAGGCACAACACAATGGAAATGGCACTGTGCACACAAACATTTGCTACTTTTTAACACTTGAGATCCTCTTTAATAAATTCAACACTTCTTCTTTTTAAGCGCCGTTACAGTTGCATGAACCGAGGGATTTAATGCAGGGTCCAATGATCAAACGAAATCCAAATTTTTATATCCAATATATTTTCACGAACCCTTGATGTTTCTATGGGACAATACATTATACATCACTCCATATCACGGTGCCATAGTGTTTACATTAAGTGTAAATAACCAGCCTTTTTGACATAGGCTATTTACACTAATTACGCTCACCAATGTCTGGTTGGGCCACACAAAATAAAAAATTACGCGGACCGGGTACCAGCTGTATAGTGGCGTAGCGAGTAAGGCACATAAAAGTAGCATTTTGACGCGATCGACCCGAGTTCAAGTCCACCTTTTGCCGGATTGCTCTTCTCCTTTTTCACATCACATATCAGATCAGAAAGGCATTTACTTTCAATGTAGAAAATATTCGAAAAGTGGAAATAATGTGCATAACGAGTGTTTAATAATGAAGTATATCGGGTTAGGGGTACACCTAGTATGAAGGGCTTTATTTGCACTCTACATTACTATTACATCCTGTTAATGTACAACAAAACTGAGGTGCAAACATCCGTCTATAGACTATAGCCTATAAATAATATCTAAAGACAATTTATTGCAAAGAAAATACATAGTGTAAATAGAATCTATTGCTAGTGTATCCATAAAATATTTTCTATTGTCAATTCGTGTAAACAGCATCTAAAATATTCTGCTTACATTGCAAATAGCCGCTGCCTTCTATAAAGGCGTAAAACAAGCATGCAAGCTTTATATAGTGGTAATGGACTAACGAAACCCTAATTTTGAACAATTTACTATACCAATACCACACCAATGTTTTTATGGACTCTTGAGCTTGCACATACTGTATTATTACTGTTGAATTCATTTCATAATGCTGTTTCTCGCTGCCACTTAAACAATGCTTTAAAACTAAAATTTGGTCTAACATTACTATTTTAAAGAGCTTTTACTAAACCAGGATTTTTAAATGACACTTTAAATTTACATAGCCATATAAATGACTTGGCTAATGGTTTAAAAAAAATTGGTACTACAGTAAAATGCCCAAAATTTGAATTTTGTTAGACCATTACCTCTGGTATAGAGTCCTTAGTTTTAACGCATCCTCTATAGTGGCCAAGAAAGGGAGCGGGAAGATTTTGTTGTGTTGTGGCTTGTTTCCATTGTGTTGCGGCAATTTTGTTGTGTTGTGCACTACTGGGCCACCATACTTTTGGCTCAATGTACCTTTAACAAAACGTGAAAATGTTGACAAACAAATTCAATTGTGAGCAGGAGTCATCTGATTCTGAGAGTCACCCAGCTAAAGGCACAATGGCAGGGGACACAGCAGAGGGTCCAGCAGCATGGCAGATGTTTGGAAGGGCTGATGGGACAGTGGCAACTCTATGAGGCCGGCTCAGGGAAACTTTCAAAGTTACTCAGACACATCGAAGAACTTCTGCCCCTAGCAGGACTTGCGCCGTGCAGCTTACAGCAAATCCAATGCTCTATAAAAGACTTTGAGGTAAGATGATTGAGTAAAGAGAATATAATGATCTTTTCAACTCTTTCAGATCCTAAAGTTGTACTGCAAAGTCTGATCCAACACCATCATTATCTTTCATATTTTCTATCTCACAGTGGACAGAGGAGCAACTACAGCTTCATGAAGAGCTCTACAGGCAGACTGTGGAGGCAGGGGGACACATCCTTCTACTAACAGATGCGCAGACGCAGACATGCCTGCAGACTGAACTGGATGCTCTCAAAGAGATGTGGGAGAGAAGCTGTGGCCTTGTGAGGAAAAGAAAGGCTCTTGCAGACACCATAACTCATGTATGTGACCCAATTCTCACATTTCCCAGACCATGTCTTAACTGGTTACCAGTGTTGGGGAAAGTTACTTTTAAAAGTAATGCATTACAATATTGCGTTACTCCCTAAAAAAGTAACTAATTACGTCAAAAATGGAACTACGTCGTTCGTGCATTTAAGGTTAAGGGTGTGGGATGCACATCGGTGATGTGGAGGGAGAATATACCTTTCGCTGGTCTCACTGTCAT